CCACCCTCGGGTGTGGAATAATGATTTCAAGTTTAATTTACATCTATAAACCTACGATCGCTCAGAGGATGGATTTGTGCGACTCCCAAATACCTGAACAGTATTTTAGAAACAATTAATTCTTTGGATGGGAATTAGAGGGCAAAACACCGATTTTAATTGGATTTGATGCCTATTGCGGGAGAACGCGATAAATCAGATCAAAGCAGACCAATCGGTGGGTGACACTTGATCTCATTATGACGATAGCGTGATGGACTCCAAAATAGGGTGGTAGTGGCGAGGGACTGGCATGTCAGTAACTCCATTATTATTAGTTTCTTCAAAAATAAAGACCAAACGTGTACAAACCAACTCACTCTTGATTCCGCAACCCCACTCCTTGCAGGTGGGAATTTAGGGGTTATGATATTCTGATGTCTCAAGGCTGCTGGCCCCCCTCCTGCTTCAACAGATGCTCCATTACTGTTGGCACCATTTCCATTGCCCCCAAGGAAGAATTGCTTGGCAGCGCGATGCTGTTGCTGCATAGGGAAGTGATGGGCAGGCTCATCTCCAATGGAGTCTCCAGAATTTGCGGAGGTGGATTGGTGTTGCTTCGCAGTGACACCCAATTTGGGACCGCGGGAGAATTGTGAGGAGGTGGCGGAGTTGGGAGTAGATGACTGCTGAGATGGTTGATAGGCGGAGTGCTGTTGTTGGGGATAGTAGTGCTGTTGAGAGGCGGAGGCCTGAGGTGGAGATGTCACCTGGTGGACTGCACCCGAGCCTGGGTGACGCTCACGCTCCTGTATTGGGGTGAAAGAAAAATTTTTGATTGACATTCTGAAAATTCGACAAACCGGTAGTTAACTTCAAGCTACCGTGATCCGACTGGTATGTCATATTCCACCACTTTCACGGTACTCACCTTACCCTACTCTCTACCTTTGTGTCTGTAAATATTTATAGTGAGGATTTTACGTGCCATTGGATGAAACCTTCAAATAGCGGTGATTCAATTTTTCCGCAAAAAGAGGAATGCAATGGAAGGGGAAGGAATTGTTTGACAAGGTGGAACAGAAGCGAACTCAACAAACAAGTAGGACTTTCATCACTCGCAGTAGTCTCGAGACAACATTCAATGAATCTAATAATGAGAGAGAATTAAAATCCTACAACTAAAGCACATAAACTCTCCAAAAAGAGAAGCACGTCGCCGCACTTGGACCAGGGCGCATTGAAATCACAGCCACAACGCAGAAAACAGATGTGGAAAGAAAAATGTGCAAAGCCCAAGTACACTGAATCACCATTCCACTTGTCCAAGCGTCCAGTCATTTTTATCGAGATGACGAATCGACAAGGAAGAGAAGGCTTAGAGAACTAACAACACATACACACACACAGGCTATTTCAAAAGAGAACGAAGTTTCAGTCATTATATTTTTGGAGTGGGGTGTGCGATAGACTTACCTCCACGTGGTGCACCCTGGGCAACGTATACTCATACGGCAAAAANTTTTTGCCGTATGAGTATACGTTGCCCAGGGTACACCACGTGGAGGTAAGTCTAGTGCAAACTCCATTTTTACTTAGTAGGTTCGAACAAAAGATCATATTACAGAATTTTTATTGAGTGGTTTGAAGGGGGGGGGGGGTTTGCAGAATTAATTTAGAGGACTCCAGTCTCGGAACCAAGATATCTGCATACCTCAATGGCTGTTTGAGTCTTTTAATCTTTAAAATTGTCAAAATTAATCATTTTTAGTACATGGAGATGAATAAATATTGAATAAAATTTTGGCCTTTGAATTTTTTGGTGCCTATTCATTCTGTTTTATATTGATTGCTTGGGGAAGATTTTAGAATGCACAATTTGCTTCAAAGGAACAAATTAATAGTTGCACTAAATTGCTAAAAGGTTTTTTAACAAAGGAAGAAACTTCGATTGTGCTTTCTTTTTAATTGTAAAGCGTTTATTTCATTCTGCTTTAAATCAGTCTACTTTGGGAAATTTTATATTTAGTTCTATTTGTTACTGATCACTTAAACCACTTCATTGAATTCTAAAAATTATCGAATTCCCATTAATTAAATAAAAAATCAACTAGTAATGAAGTTTCAATTAATAAGCTGAAATTTATTTAACCAAGGTTTATCAGGAGTGACAAAGCAAATTGACATGGTCATTTACAATGAACGAGTAAGAGTTGACTTTAAGTCATTTATTAACTAAATTGATGATTTAAAACATAGTATCAAAGCGTTTTACGTAGTTTTAATTAACGACAAGTTTTAACAATTTATTGCCATAGCTCAATGTGATTTAGCTTAAAAAGGCAATTCTAGGTACATTTCCATTCTGTACTACTCCTAAAGCTACTTTTTAAGTGATGACCTCTTATTTATTACAACTTTGCAAAACTCGAGATCAAATTAAGAAAATGGGATCTTTACGTGTTTACGCATTGCACAAGTAATTATCTCCTCCAATTATTTGCCTTTTCGACCCACACCTCGTTCATTTCATGACCGTCTTAAAATTTTTTCCTTGGTCCCGTTTTCAGTTACCTCTCCTAAGATTATAACTCGCAAACGATATTGACATTGGCAGTGGGTAATTAATAAAATGAGATATTAATCTTCTTCACATAGTCTGGCTCCGAATTTATGTCATTGAGCTCTGATTAAACTAATTAGAAGGAAAATTTTTGAAAGCCATGCAAAAGAGAAATCATGATTTTTAATGCCGTTCTTTAAAAATCTTTGTTCAAAAGGGGATATGAAGGTCGTAGACTGCTTACAGCCAACATAGCAGTGACGATAACAGAAAAAATTAGGGTTTTTCAATGTGAGTTCTTTAAATTCTCAGCTATTATGGCACTATTTTGAAAGAAACAAAATTGTTTGCTTCCAATTAGCTTGAATTTGACAAATAAATAGTGATAGGCCCGTTCAAAGTATGTCAAAAACATAGAGCTCTGGATAGGTTTTAATAAATGCAAATTTTTAAAATATTTAAGATAAAAAATACAAAGGAAAATATAACACTTATTAGGGTGATTTTAAGCCAATGCTAGTTCATTTAAAATGGGTAGCTCAATAGACTTACCTCCACATGGTGCACCCTGGGCAACGCATACTTATACGGCAAAAAGGTCTATTGATCGGCAGTTGACTTCTGACTTCAAACTACTATGGTCCGACAATTTGTCATATTCGACCCCTTTCACAGTACTCATCTTACCTATTTTATGCCTTTGTGTCTGTCTGTCTGTCTCTCTTACATCTGTGAATCACTCTTCTGTTCCCCCTCTCGACTTTTTGCCACTTTGATGTTCCTTCTCCTTTCTGTGAAGCCCCGAAGTCAGCTCCAGGGCTAATGATAACTATCAAAACGCCTGCCATTTGANGTTTCAGTCATTATATTTTTGGAGTGGGGTGTGCGATAGACTTACCTCCACGTGGTGCACCCTGGGCAACGTATACTCATACGGCAAAAAAGTCTATTGACTGGCAGTTGACTTCTCACTTCAAGCAACCATCACCTCACTCTATGCCATATTCGACTATTACCACAGTACTCACCTCACCTTTGTTCTACCTTTGTGTTTATCTCTTACATCTTTGAAACACTCTTCTGTTCTCCCCCCCTGTCGACTTTTTCAATTTGATATTTCTCCCCCTCTGTGAAGCCTTAAGTCAACTAAAGGGCTAATGATAACCATCAAGACGCCTGCCATTTGATATAAATAAAATAAATATATTTTTAGAGCCGTTTAAGGATTCTATTAGCCGCCTTTCATCCAGAAAAAAACCTTTTATACTTCCTGGAATCGCAAATTGGTAAACGGCTGTCTTAACGCACAGTCTCCTACTTGCTTCCATCCAACAGACATATGTTCGGGTGACCTTCAAGGGGTTCTGGTAGAAAAACCTCGACTAACACTGGAATGTGCTAATCACATGCCGCAATAATATCATGTCCTCCTATCTGCCCATTTGAGTTAATTTTCTCAGTATCACAAAATATGTCATAAGGCAAGAGCCGGGCATCAACGAACACATTCTGGTAGCAATACTCAATAATTTGATTTCTACAGTTAGTTCTGGCATAAAATACCGTGCTGATAGCGCGATGGTTGCACCTGTACGATTACTGCCAATTACCAATGAAGAAATAGTACCTTTAATTAGAGGAGCATCAATATCCTTCTTACCCCACCCCCTTCCCCTCCCTCAATACATGTTTTGACATTGGAATTGTGAAAGGACACACACAGATCTACCGCCAACTGCCCACTTAACACAGCAGAGGTTTAGAGAAATCACTGACCACATCATATATATATATATATTTGCGATTAGTCATCTATAAAGGGGGGCCCAAGTCTATGAGGGAAAACAATGAAGAAGATTTAGCTGGAATATATTCCGCAAGACCTCTTTGCCTCCTTAATCAATCAATCAATAAGTACCGAGGAGCGTGAACAGCAATGCAGATGACGATCATGAAGACTGAATCTCGGAGGACTGTGTGTCCTAATGCACTTTTGTACAATTCGAATTCAAAATAAAATGAAATCGATTTCTTCCAATAAGGGGTGTGCGATAGACTTTCCTCCACGTGGCGCACCCTGGGCAACGTATATTCGTACGGCAAAAAAGTCTATTGACTGGCAGTTGACTTCTCACTTCAAACTACTAAGACCCCACTGCATTTCATATTCGACTATTTCACAGTACTCACCTCACCTTTGTTCTACCTTTGTGTCTGTCTCTTTTACACCTTTGAAACACTCTTCTGTTCCCCCCCTCTCGACTTTTTTTTCAATTTGATGTTCCTTCCTCTCTGTGAAGCCTGAAGTCAACTAAAGGGCTAATGATAACCATCAAGACGCCTGCCATTTGATATAAATAAATTTCTTCCAATAAAAGTGCCAAATTTCACAGCAAAACATTTAAATTTGAATTGTTAATAGGTCTCAATAGACCCCATGTTTTAAAATTACCTACTTAACCATGATGCTAGAATACGAAAGGTTGAATATTTTTAAGAATCTTGCAGATGAAAAATAGCAAATGATAATTACAAAAGCCTAACATTAAATTCAGACAACTGGATGAACTGAAATGAATGCGCAAATTTTGTGTGCTTTTCCGAACCATCACTCGAGATCAGAAACGGTTAAGCTCCGAATTCACCTTATACCCCCCCCCCCACACGCACTCAACTCCTACCCCTTTCTCCTCTCGGGTTGTCAAAAATGTTCGCGAATATTCAAGGCGTAAATTAATAGTGAAAACAGGAGGGCACTAACAACGATGTCATTTCTACTAACACGAGAGCTCAAATAGTAGTAATCAATACTCTAGCCGACAGAAATATTGTTAATTAAGTCGAAGCGCTTTGCTACTGAAATGCACACTTCAGTAGAACTACTACTAGATGGGGCATGGATAACAGGATAGCCACACGAGGGTGGGGGGGGGGGTTAATGCCGATTTCGTAGTCGATGCTTTTTCTGACGTAAGTAAAGTGGTAACAGTATTTGCATACTTTCCCACAATTAACCACTCCACCCTGGTAGCAATAGACAGCGCCCAATTATATATGGAGAGGGCTTTTTATGACTTAAATAAAGAATTTAAGGTCATAGAGTCATTCCATTAGTTAGTTAGCATTTTGGCATCGTTCATGACATTATCCAGGTGTTGAGAAGTGACCACATACAAGTAACGTTAATTTATAATTAAGTTAAGTGAATAATCTCCATGAAACGAAGAAAGAGTCGAAGGAAGATGCCCATTTTGAGGAATGAGGGAGGGGCAAGTGGTGTGAAAAGACCTTACGAGCGTGCCTAAGAAGAAGGGGACTTTTTGCATTGAAGCGCGGGAAAAACACAAATATATGAAAGGTAGTAGGAGGGAAGGGAGAGATGGGAGGGGGGATAGTAGAAAGTTTCAGCGACTTGCCTTTTCTTCAACTGGCACAATATCGCAAGCGTTTGGCCTTTTTTATTCTATTTTACAGCCGAGAGGCAATATATGATGAAGCTGGAATTGCAAATGCCAAACCAATAAGACTAGATCGTAAATAGCAGAAGGTAGAGAGGGAGAGAGGCTGCTTTAGAACCAGAAGCGAATTGCAAACAGTTGAAAGGTTATGAAATCCACAACCTGTGTGTGTGTGTGTGTTTGAATGGTTTGAAATTTGAAGGTAAAGTTCAGAAGTACCCTGATGCCTTGCTAATCAATACAAATTAAGTAATTTACCTAACAATAGATTGGCCGGGCACACTAAAACTCGATGATTAGTTGTGTTGATTAACATATATATATATATATATGGAGAAACAAGTCCAATAGTGCAAAACGCACAAATTTAAGATTTATTAGATGGAGTGTGCGACAGACTTACCTCCACGTGGTGCACCCTGGGCAACACATATTCATACAGCAAAAAAATCGGCATTTGACTTCTGACTTCAAACTACCACGACCCCACTGGCAGTTGACTTCTCACTTCAAACTACCATCACCCCTCACTGGCAGTTGCTTTCTGACTTCAAACTACCATCACCCCACCGTAAACCGGCAGTTGACTTCTGACTTCAAACTACTATGGTCCGACTATAGTTGACTTCTGACTTCAAACTACCACGACCCCCTGTATGTCATATTCGACCCCTTTCACAGTACTCACCTTACCTTGTTCTCTACCTATGTGTCTGTCTCTCCCTTTTACATCCTCGAACCACTTTTCTGTCCCCCCCCCCTCCTCCTCCACCTCGTCTTTTGTGACTTTGATGAACCTTCCCTCTGTGAAGCCCGAAGTCAGCTAAATGGCTAATGATATCTATTAAAACGCCTGCCATTTGAAATAAATAAAGATTTATCAGCTACGAGAGAGCGCACGAGCTTAATGTTCCAAAGTGGATTTAAATTGATATCGATCAAAGTGCACACAAATACCTAGAAGTACACGCCAATATATATGAAGCCCCGAGAAGAAGAAGAAGAAGTGGGGTGAATGCAATTAATAATGAGGTTGGCGGGAAGAGATAAATTTTTTTCTCAACACGAGGACAGAAGGAGGAAGCTTTGTGTCAAGTGAAGGTTGGAGAGGCTGAATAGGAATATAGTGGAAGATGGCAGCTCCACACACAAAAGAAATGCAGCAGGTAGACACCGGCAGGAAAGCGCTTAGTCAAAAAAAGGCGTTTTCCTATAACTGGGAATATGACTCAGGAAGAGAGGACTCCTGCGAAAATATCACACTAAATTGACAGAAAATGTGATTGATAATTCCTTCCCCCCCCCCCACCTCACCCTCCTTCATATGCATAAACGAGTTACCTTCCAAGTCTAATTTGAGAAATTTATTTGACTTGACCCTTACAGTTTTCTGCTTAAAGTGCATTTCTAGCCTTCACACACACACACACACACACATAACCACCACGCAGAATCCCCCTCTATCTCGAGTACACAAGACCAAAAAAAGTGATAGAGATCACCAACAGCAAGTAGCGACATCTCACCTGGAATCTGGCAAACTTTTGACGCAGAGTATGCTCCTCAGCAGCCACTGCAGTACTGGGTTCGCCAGTCACTTCAATTACTGATCCCCTCGGTCCTGCCGCAGCATCCAACCCAGCCCCATTGAACACTTGCGAGGAGGGTCTATGCTGCTGGGCCTGTTGAACCGCAGGTGGAGGTCGATACATGCCAACTCGTTGGACGAGCTGTTGAGGTGGTGCACGAGCCCCCGGTTGTTGAGCAGGCAGGAAGGTGGGAGTTTGTCGAGGGGGCTGAACAGGCCGACCACCCCGTTGTTGTGCAGCCGCCAATTGCTGCTGTTGCTGTTGCTGCTGATGGATATAAGTAGCGCGGTGTTGGGCAACAGCGGCGGCAGCGGCTGCGTTGGCGAAGGGAGGCGCGAAGGGATCACTTTTGGGAGCCCCTTGTGGTGGGGGAGGCGGGGGTGGGCCACCAGATTCCTCGTCTTCGGCGTCAGAACCCTCGTACTCGTAAACTTTGTCTTTCTCATCCGCAGCTACAGACAAAAGAGTTCGGTCAGGTACTATCATGTAATTAAAGAACAAAGCTTTCTACATGAGTAAATGCAGTGGTCAAGATAAGCCATTCTCAATGGAATGACCTTGCATTCCTGTCCAAGATGGAAGTCAGAAAACGCTCTATCAATTCGGCCAAATCGACGCTCATCAGTGCACCCTCTGTTAATACGAATGTCCAATCACCCAGAAGCGATTTTTGGAGTGGCTCATGAAAAAAAGCATTCACTAGCAAAGTTTTCTTACTTAATTTGAGAATTTTCATAAAAAATTAGACACAGTTAGGATAGGGCTCGTAAAGGTCCAAATGGTTCAACAAATTTTTAGTAAATAAGCTAAACACATTGATTCTCGCAAATAATTTGGAATCGCTATGGTAACAGAGTGGACAAATCAAATGGGGAAAGATGACCGAGAAAAAACTTTATATGAAGGAACACAAGCTAAGAGAGCAGAAGAAGATTAATGTGAAAGCGGAATAGAAATCTGAAACAGCACCAAAAAAATACCAGACTCGTTTAAAAGGCACCTTCCAATATTTCAGCAGCGGGGTGTGCGATAGACTTACCTCCACGTGGTGCCTTAATAAGACAAATTTCAGAGGTGTTTAAGTGGATTACCTCACACAAACAAACAAGTGTAAAGATCAATTTCATTAGTAAAAGGTGAGAAATTTTGCATAAAATCACATGCCAATTCGATTTATTATAGCAACACAAAATAATATGTGAAGAAATTATTTAAAATTAATTAAAATGAATTTAGTAGTCGAGGCCAATTAAAGCGAAATAAAGGAATATACATAAGTGTTAACTTTCGGAATTTGTGGATAATGCAAAATGTGAGAAGTTTTGATTGTCAGAACACGCTGGTGCTCCACGTTTGAAGCTAAACTAAATGATGATCAGGAAAAAGACGCATAGTAACGCTTGCATTTGAACGTTACTATGGAAATTACCCCAGTGAGTTCTCTTAATCGCAGCATATTCATGAGCACAACTACGATATGATATCTAGTGCAAGTTATGTGTGGAATGGAGGGGTGTGCGATAGACTTACCTCCACGTGGTGCACCCTGGGCAACGTATACTCATACGGCAAAAAGTCTATAAGCTGGCAGTTGACTTCTGACTTCAAAATACCATGGCCCCACTGTATGCCATATTCGACCACTTTCACAGTACTCATCTTACCCTTTTTCTTTGCCTTTGTGCCTGTCTGCCTCTTTTACATCTGTGAATCGCTCTTCTGCTCCCCTTCCTCGATTTTCCGCTACTTTGATGAACCTTCCCTCTGTGAAGCCCGAAGTCAACTAAAGGGCTAATGATAGCTATCAAAACGCCTGCCATTCGAAATAAATAAATAAATAAATAAATGCGTGGAATGGCAGACACTCGAATTTTGACCTCATGAAAATCTCCTCCAGGCACGCAGACTAAAGTGTGGGCTTCACCTCAACACTTCAACCAATAAATCTTTTAAAATTCTACAGAAGTTGCCGTTACACGCCAATGAGTCATCAACCCGTTACCCCCCCCCTCCCCCCTCCCCTCTCTCAAAGCTGAGGCAGGCGCCTCACAACAAAGACAAGAGGAAGAAAAGACACCACTAGGTGAACACTATTATTGCCGAAACAGAGTAAAAATCTCAAATTGTAGAAAACAGAGACAACTAATAAAACCCACTCAATAGTTAGTTATAGACAATAGCCCTAAATCCTTGACATGCATTCAAATTAGCATGTCAATTAATCAGATTAATTAGAACATTCTAAAGAACCCAAGCATACGTAATTCAAACTTTCGAATAGGCCGAACCTAAGGAGGAGGAGATGAAAGAAAAATGGAGAACTTCGGGACTAATGAAACTGTTTTGGTGAATGCAGAAGAGGAGGAGGAAAATTTTCCCACAGCAATCTGGTATCTAAGTGACGCAGAAAGAGACGCACTTTCAGGGGGGGGGAGGCAAAAAAAGGGGAAAGCAAAAGTATCTAGACAGGAATCGATCGCATGCACATTCCATGGGGTATCTACGACCTTGGCATTATGTCACTTCTATGGTGCCCCAGTTAGTTCCAAGGAACTCTAATTAAAAACTGAGGACCATAATGGCAGGTAGTTGTGAGTGATAATGACATTTATAGAAATAAGCACTAGTTCTCGGAAACCGCTTATTAGGAGACAAGTAATTAAAGAGAGGGTATAGTAGTACAATAGTTCGCGTTCAACCTTTCCTATTCCAGCACTACTAAGATGTTACACGTAAATTAACTTTAAAAAGATCAATTGCCTCGGCGTCGTTGTCGTGGGTAACACTTATAAATAAAGTAGCAGTGAACGTAACAGCCATCGATGGAATTAAATGACAAGTTCTGATTTGGGGTTTGAGAGCGCAATTAAAAAGAACAAAATGGCCAGAAAATGGATATGCATAGCGCTTCCATTAAATTACCTGCACTGAAGAACGAAAAACTGGGTAGTCTAGTAACCAGAGGCCACAAATTTGTGAGAAGAAGAAGATCAATAAAGCATGTGACCAGTAAACTCTTTCAGTTGAAGTATTAAACAGAAATAATATCACTATGGACTAGTGGGTCAGTGAGATTAGGCTAAACAGATACTCAAAAAGGTTACGAAATTTGCCTCGATTTTTGAATAAAACATAGCATGAGGGG